ATCCCCTTAAAGGAATCTCTTTCTTCTGATTCCAAGCCTTGAGCTTCCCAGCCCAGCCACTATCAAGTAAGTTGTTTAGGGTATGCAGCTCAGGCCCTTGGTCCTCTAGTTTCCTTGCCATGCTTCGGATGCAAGCTTCAGATGAAGAAGCAGATGATGTGTTGTCCCAGCGCCCGTTTTTTCCTGTGCGAGCAGGGTAATGACGTCATAGGCTGTTGCCGGCCAATGTTATTGTTGTTTTTAGATGTATGCTTCAGACACCGGCCATGCTGAAGGCGTTCCCCCATAGCGACCCCTAGAGGACGCAGTGTCTCATTCCCTTCTTAGGGAACCATGGTTACATACCCTGCCTGAGACGTTATCCACCTATCAAAATCGGAGTGGCAAAGCTGCACGTCGCACTGCAGCGCGGGGAGAATGTAAGCGCAGACCAGTATCAATTTATGTGAACATTATGTAGTTTTAGACAATAAGCTGAGTTTATTTAATTAATATTGAGTACTGGCCAGCTAACTGATGGCATACAAAATTGGTCGAAAAATTCAACACTTCAAAGGTCGAAAATACAACTTCGAACAGATTACTTTTCCATTATTCCATTATAAACAAAATGCTTAAGGCTTGAATACCTGTGCTCCCAACCACCAGAATATGGAAATAACTTTTACTGTAACTTCTTACCACACTGCAAAATAGTGTTGTTCTTCCTCAGTATTTTTTTGTGTTGTTTTCCAGTGCAAATGTTTAAAGATTCTTAAATAAAAATGCAATTACTTGAGAAGCAAAATGACATTAGATAAAGAAGTCTTGATTTCTGTGAAACGGATCAAAATTAAGTTTAGAGTTTATGATTAAAACAAGAACAAATATCTGCCAATAGGCTAAGAAAAATCAACTTAACACAAAGGGAAAACACATTACCTCATAAACAGATATTTTAAGTTTGAACTATAAACTCACTTAAATTTCAGTTCAGCCTTTTAAAGACTTCATTTCACATTTGTATCTCAACTAAATGGATCTTGATTTAAAGAGGTTTAGACATTTGTATTGGGAAAAAAAAACAAGGAAGACATAAATTTTTTGCAATGCATGGAACATTTAATGCTCTGATTTGAGACTTTTTAAGACCTTCATTTTGTGGAAGGGCAAATTAAGACTTTAATACCGACAGAAAATTAGCTTATTTTAAACCTAGTTTTGTGGAATTTTAAATTATTTTAAGCCATATTGTGGGCCCATTGTAAGTATACTGAGGCCCCTGGTTGAAAACCAATGATCTACTCAATCTGAAAGATCTGGAACACAACTGATGACATGCACCGGTGCCCCGATTTCCACCGACCACAACATGCTGAAATGAGCTAAGATATGCTAGAGTACCTCTGAGGCTTGTTCCTCTTCCTCCTGCGATGAAGGAATTCAGTATTAAAACAGAAGATAATGCATCAATGTATTTGAGTGATAGAAACAGCTGCTGAGTAGAAGGGGTTATGCTACACCCAGACTGAAGTTCTCTGAGCTAAAGGTACAAAAGAACGGGCAGTGGACGAGAGTTTGAGTGGATATATGTGTGTTTTTCCACAGTAAAGAAAGATCTGAAAAGTGACAGCCACTGGATAGAACTTCCACGATTTCTGCTCCTGTAACATAAGTGAGGGCTGGAATGACTGGATGAGCAAAAAGAAAGAATCCAGAGAACTGAGAGAGAGGTAAAGAGCTAAGCAGCATGTCTGAGTGTAAGGGAGAGCAGATGTTGATCATGGAGATGGTCTGCTAAGTACACTGCAATTTGAATAAAATAATAATAATAATAATAATAAATATTTATTTGCAACAACTGATGGAGTACTGAATGCTGCACGCACGCGCAGCGTTGTCAAGGTAACATTTGGTCAGTCATTCCCTTCGTCAAGGGAGTTCCAAACGCTTATATGAGACAGTATGTACATTAAAGTACTGAGGAATATTAATTATCAGCATGTACTATAGGGTTAGGGTTAGAATTAGGGTTTTCTTTAGGGTTAGTTGCATGTAATTATGCATATTTGAATTTAGACCCCTACGTCCAACTAAATAAGCTAAATTTATGTCATGTTGTATAACACTGATGGGCTTGAGTGTATCGCTTATGTCTCTGGTATGTTAAATTTGGTCCAAAACACTGCAGGACTGACAATACAGATGCTACAGCAGTGAACGGATATCTTGTGCAGTTAGAAGAAAAACAAAGGCGAAAGAGAAATCTTAAAGAAAAGGAAAAACATGTATCAATCTACCTCAAGCTCTCGGAGTTCTTCTTCGTCCTAGAGAGGAGAACAGACTGAATGAGATGAGAGGAATGTGAGAGCTAAAGCTGAAGAGAACAACACAAGAGACACATGCAGCTGAAGAAACAGATGGAGAGTGAAGAAAGCGGCTGGCGGGAGGCAGCTAGAGGAGAGAAGTCAAACAGGAGGTTAGAAGGAAGAATGAAGGAGGAAAATCAGTGGCCAAATGAGGGGAAAAAATGCAAATCACAAATACAACAACAGAGACAGAGAGACACTGCTCATCAAACCCAAGTTACCTCAGACATCAAATCATCTTCTGCCTATAGGAAAAAACAGGTGGGAACTGAGAAGAAGGGATAGAAAGAAGCTTTTAACTTGCTGAATTTGGACAAAAGAAATAGAATGGATTAACTGAATTCAGTACTTTCCAGTTTTGTGTTCAAAACACATCAGAACAGCAGGTGTGCTATCTGGTATCATTCAATATTTATATTGATAAAAATAAAAAAAATCAGATACATACAGTACACTCACGTTAAGCAGGATGTACTTATAGCAAATCTCAACTGCTTGATTGTTATACCATCCAAAAATATTAATTACATTATTGCCCAGCTATTAAAGATGAATGTATAATACATCCTACAGCATACATACATGTTCTATATTATGCTTATTAAAGCTATACATTCAATAAAAATATCAATAAAGTGCAGGATTTTGGATTTTGACAAGTGGGCATTAAATATCAGAATGGTGTCTGATATTTAATATCAACATAAACCATTAGAGTATATTAGACCACGTAATTATTGATGATGATTAGATGACAACATGATTTAAATCACCAATAAGCTTTGTTAAAGGGGTCATATGATGCGATTTCAAGTTTTCCTTTCTCTTTGGAAAACGAAGCGTTTGAGAGAGGCGGGGCATAGAGGACCTACAATAATGTACAGTATTTGAAAAATAATGTGTTTTTTGAACATTAAAGCATGTCAACATATTCTGTTACACCAAATACACAAAATAATGATCTTTAAAAAAGCATCATATGACCCCTTTAATGATGACCGGTTCTGTGACTGGCACTCAATTTGCCCAGGTGCTTGTGGTATGTAATTTACTCCACAGAACCTATTCAGTTAGTTTATGTTCTAGTTTATGTTACTTTATTAGACTATGCATTTTACCGAATTCAGTGCATCTTGAACTTGTATTTTTTTGTTGGATTTGCGGAACAAGCGTCACCCTAATGATGATTCATATTTTCCTGCTTGCTATTTTAGTAACTGCAAATAGTTAAAGAACAACATTTTTTTCTTAAGAACTGTTTTGATGGAGAACTTTTCAAGTAAAAGGCTTTTAAAAACAGAAAATGCATCCATCACACCTGTAAGGATAAAGAGGGAAGGAAAATGAAACACAGGCAAAACCCAATGCAAACGAGTCGCCTTCCAAGAGAAAATGCTTTTGAGTAAATGACTGATTGTGAGAAGAAGAAAAAAAAACATGGATGCAAAAATAAATAATAATAATAATAATGGAAATGTTGTCAGGAAGATGAGAAGGAATGGATGGGAGAGAATAGTAGAGTTAAACACACTCCAGATCTGTTCATTCTAGAATAAGAATCACCTCTGAGACCAGATGGTTGTCCTCAACCTGAAACAACGAATAGCGAACATTAGCTTTTTCTTTAATGATTTTTCTGACAAGCAGTTAATTGCATTTTTAACTCTCAACCGGACCATTTTTGACGAGAAATAATGTAAATAATAATAATAATAATAATAATAAATAAAAATAATTTTAAAAAAACAGTGTTCTCACACTTTTCCATGATATTTGAAATTTGTTCATGATTCCTGGATCTTTCTTAAAAGATTAAAAAATATACAGTGGAATGCTAAAGTTTTGGAAACCCTTGCAGAATCTGTGAAAATTTGAATAATTTTAACAAAATAAGAGGGTTCATACAAAATGCCTGTTATTTTTTATTTAGTACTGTCCTGAGTAAGATATTTTACATAAAAGATGTTTACATTTAGTCCACAAGACAAAACAACAGCTGAAATTATTAAAATAACCCCATTCAAAAGTTTGGGAACCCTTGGTTCTTAAAGGGGTCATATGATGCTGCTAAAAAGAACATTATGTTGTGTATTTGGTGTAATGAAATGTGTTTATGTTAAGGTTCAATTAAGGTTCAAAAAACACATTATTTTCCACATATCAGCTGATGCGAGCTTGACTAACGTGACCTGCCAGAACTAACTCATACACTTATTTATCTAACACACATACTCAGTCTACATTTCAATTTGCACATAATATACCTGTACATACAACGGTCTATTGTTCTATACCTGTACATACAATTGTCGATTTGTATATTTTTTATTCCTTATTTTACTTTTCTATTTTTTTATATTCTATTTTGTATTTTTATTTTTTTTTATTTTTTTTATTATCTGTGTTTTTTTGTTCTGTCACTGTCATTCTGTTACACTGTGGAAGCTTCTGTCACGAAAACAAATTCCTCGTATGTGTAAACATACCTGGCAATAAAGCTCATTCTGATTCTAATTCTGAGATTCTTCAGTTTTCCAGCATCTTTTGCATATTTGAACCCTTTCCAGCAGTGACTGTATGATTTTGAGATCCATCTTTTCACACTGAGGACAATTGAGGGACTCAAACACAACTATTAAAAAAGGTTCAAACATGGAAAAACCATGCATTAAGAGCCAGGGGGTGAAAACTTTTAAACAGGATGAAGATGTCCAAATTTTTCTTATTTTGCTGAAATATAATTTTTTTCCATTTAGTACTGCCCTCCAGAAGGAAACACGATGCATTAAGATCCGGGGGGGGATCTTAATGCATCGTGTTTCCTTCTGGAGCATCAGTGAATGTAATAAAAAATTATATTTCAGCAAAATAAGAAAAATTGGGACATCTTCATCCTGTTCAAAGAACCAAGGGTTCCCAAACTTTTGAATGGGGTTATTTTAATAATTTCAGCTATTTTTTTGTCTTGTGGACTATATGTAAACATCTTTTATGTAAAATCTTACTCAGGACAGTACTAAATAAAAAATAACATGCATTTTGTATGATCTCTCTTATTTTGTTAAAATTATTCACATTTTCACAGATTCTGCAAGGGGTTCCCAAACTTTTGCATGTCACTGTATATATTTTAATAAATACACAAATGTCTTCAATAATGATATTTCAAACTGACTTGAGGGCAAGATCTACTCTATACAAACTCTCACAACAAGGAATAACTATTAAATATTAGGCAGAACTAAATAATAAATATGCACTAAAAGTATGTACAGGTGCATCTCAATAAATTAGAATGTCGTGGAAAAGTTCATTTATTTCAGTAATTCAACTCAAATTGTGAAACTCATGTATTAAATAAATGCAATGCGTACAGACCAGTAAATGAACATACTTTCCAGAATGCCAACAATTCACTAAAAATGTTTTTATGAAGTATTCTATTTTATGTTCTTATGAAGTATTCTAATTTGTTGTGAATTGGTGGGTTTTTGTTAAATGTGAGCCAAAATCATCACAATTAAAAGAACCAAAGACTTAAACTACTTCAGTCTGTGTGCATTGAATTTATTTAATACACGAGTTTCACAATTTGAGTTGAATTACTGAAATAAATGAACTTTTCCACGACATTCTAATTTATTGAGATGCACCTGTATGTATGTATTTGTTTGTATGACTAGTTTCCATGACTTTTCTAGGCCTGTAAACCATAATTGTTCTCTGATATTTCCAGGATTTCCATGACCATGAGAATCCTGAACAACTCCAAACACATCTAATACATTGACAAAATTCAAATAAAGCAATTCTTGTTTTTGGATGAATGACTTCCACTGTTTGGCAGAGTAAAGAGACAACTGTCCCTCCACCTTGTGATACACACATTTTATTGGGCAAGAGCAACACTTTCATTTTGATTGCCAAAGTTCAATAAACCAGAAGCAGTCATTTAACTGCTATGAATGATGTCACAGACTAACATGAATCTTCTTGAAGTATAAAAAAGACTAAGGCCAATGTTGTTAAAATTGCTTCTTAAGTGACAAAAAATATAGATTTCAGTCTTACCCTGTCCTCTTCTCCTTCCTCCTGTGAGTCATAGAAGAAAAGAAATGGTTCAGTCAGAATAGTAATATACATAATTATAAAAGAATTCGTTTTAATCAGTGTTTAATTACTATTACAATTACTTTGAATAGTACAATTAAAAGTTTATAATAGTTGTAAGTTAAATCACCCCAATAAAACCACACTGGAACACATCTATCTATTCAAATATATCCAAAACCTATCTATCTATCTATCTGTCATGAATCCGGTCTATAAACTTCCGTTCACTCACCACCAGAGGTCACCCGCTCTCCACATGGACTCTCACACTACACAGACTGTTACACATCACCCTGGACTACATTTCCCATGCTCCATTGCACTAATCACAATCTCACCTGAAACCAATCTCAAACAGCTGCTACCAATAACACACACTATATAAATCAGTCTCACACCACCATTCAACGCCAAGTATTGTTTAGCGCATATCTCTCTCATAGCGATAGCTACTTTACGGAGCCACTCCAAGTTTCTTAATCTAGTATAGCCTAGTTCTTAGTCTGTTTACCCGTGTCTTTATCCTTGGCTGTTATCTCGTTTTGTCTGATCTCTGCCTGCCCTGAAGTTTATAGCCTGTTTTGGAATTACCCTTTGCCTTGCTGTTTCGGACTATGTTTGCACCTTGCCTGGACTCTAGCTCGTCTTGTGGATTCCCCGTTTGCCTCGCCCCCAGGATTACGTTCGCCGGAGATTGACCACGCCCATTTACTGGACTACTCTTGTGTCTTGCCCTCAATATACCCGTTTGCCATTGTTTGACCCATGCCTGTTATGACCATGTCTCTGTCTAATAAAAGCCTGCAGATGGATCCTCACATCTCGTTGCCTCGTTACACTATCTATCTATCTATGGTTATGTTGTTATACAGTGATCAAGACATGCAGAATTGTGTAAGCAGTTTTTTCTTACCTGCTCTTCCTCCTCAGCTACCTCTCTCTATCAAAAAAGAAAGTTAAATATTAAAATGAGCAAATTACATCAGGCAGAAAAACACATTTACTGAATGAACATGATAAAATCCACAACAATCTTGCAAGTCACACTGTCAACACTAGCAAGAATCAAACTACAAGAGAGGAGATGGTAAAGCAGAGAGTTAGATGTTTAATTTCTGTTGCATGGGAGACACCTGCATAAAAAAAACCTGGAGGTTAATAGATGAAGCAAAGCATGAGATTATATGGAAGAAGAACGAGCTGCTATGGGAAAACAGGTGATGTTTGAAGAGGAATGGGAGTTAAACAGGAGTTTTAATGGTCAGTTACACTCTCTTCGTCTTCTTCTGCCGGTTCCTCCTCTTCGGCGTTCTCTTCTTGAGCATCTGTCTCTGCCTTCTTGCCTGGATCGTCTTCTTCCAGCTCTGCTGTGTGTGCATCTCCATTCTGCTCAGCCTCTACGAGTTCTTTTTTCTAGAAGAACAAACAGCGCATCCCAGGAAAAGATAAATTAACACTGTTTTGACAGTACAGGATCTAAGGATCTAAGGCACTGGCATAAAGCACCGTGGGTTCCTAGGTCATTTTAGAACTGGACCCTCAGGATGAAAACAGGCATGAGTTAATGAACTGGAGGAACATTCACAAAAACTGAGAAACAGAAAAGAGGGTTTGTTGTAGTAGACAATGGGAATGTTGCCAAACTACATGTAAAATGGACATTATCAATCAGTTTGCAATGTTGACAAATCCATTCTTCTTTCAAGACACTGGAAGAAAAATGTTTTCCTCAATTAAACATTTGTAATTACATAGTTGTATATACAACATAAAGGTGATCACATGATTGCAAATATAAAGTAACTCAAAATTGCAATCCTTTTAACTTAAGTATTTGAAAGAGTGAGAAAGCATGCCTGATTAAATGTGATTAATAACACAACACAAATGCAGTGGATTAAAGGGTTAGTTCACCCAAACGCTGAACTCATACGTCATCCGCCCGGAGCTGCTTCCGTTTACAACAGTGAGCGCAAGCTGGATTCAAGTGATTAAATATGGATATTTTTCTTACAAAAACGCATCGATTCGCTACAGAAGGCCTTTGTTCACCCCCAGGAGCCGTGTGAGACACTTTTTTTATGGATGGGCGCTTTTTATTTAACTTCTTTTGGACTGAAGCACTGCAACACCTGCTGACTGCAATGATAGAGCTTGGAATAGCCAGGACAATTTTTAATATAACTCCGAATGGATTCGTCTGAAAGAAGAAAGTCATATACACCTAGGATGCCTTTGGGGGGAGTAAAACACAGCCTAATTTTCATTTTTGGGTGAACTAACCCTTTAACAGGAACAGCATGCTACATGTGGAAAGGTTTATATGAGGCTATGTTTGGAATGGATTTCACCCAAATATAAAAATCATCATTTACTCATCCTCATGTTGTTCCAAACCTGAATGAGTTACTTTCTTCTGTTGAACACAAAAGAAAATATTCTGAAGAATGTTGGAAACCAAACAGTTGGGCTTCCATTCTATGGTTACCATCATTCTTCAAAATATCTTTGTGAACAACATGTGGGTGAGTAAATGATGACAAAATTTGGGTGAACTATCACTTTAATATTAGTTAACTACATAACATGCACTAATGGCCAACAATACTACAATATTTATTAATCTTAGTTAATGTTCATTTCTACATTTAATCAAAATATCTGTTAACATTGGTTAATGCAATGTGAACTATAATGGACAACTGTATTTTTATTAACTTACACTAACAAAGGTTAAATGCTGTGTATACTAACCCAAACATAGCCTAGATGTTAAAGGGATAGTTCACCCAAAAATGAAAATTCTGTCATTAATTACTCACCCTCATGTCGTTCTAAACCCATAAGACCTCCGTTCATCTTCGGAACACAAACTAAGATATTTTTGATGAATTCTGAGAGCTCTCTGACCCTCCCATAGACAGCAATGATCCAGGTCCAGAAAAATAGCAAGGAGATCAGTAAAATAATCCATGTGACATATCTAGCATAGCGTTAGTTCTGGCAGGTCACGTTAGTCAAGCTCGCATCAGCTGACTCTCAGCGGATCCCCATCAACCTATGGGAATGCGACACCTATCTAAGCATTCATATATAAGGTCCCTCAGTATTATCAGCAGTTTTCGCATTGCTCAATAGCTAATTACCCTCCTCCATCCCCAGCTCCGCCTCTGTCAGTCGGGATTCAGCCTTCTGATTCTCCTTTGAATCAGACTAATTCTAAAATGTGTACATAACATTATTGAACTTTAACGATATCTGCAATACATTTATGTTGGTTCTGTTCTGTTTACCCTGGGGGGGGTTATCGCTGCTCTCCCTGCTCTCATCCATGCTAGGCTGCATGGATGCGCAGGGAGTTCTTGCCCAGAACAGAACCATACCACCAATCCAAACTGTATGCTAATTGTCAATCATATTTGACGATAGTGGTCCTGACAGAAATGAAGATTTTGGAAGCAGAAAAAGATAGGGGAACTAAATCAGTTATAATTTCTGTCTCCCTGCTCAAATATGACCAAAATTAAAAGAATTTAGTCAGAAGTCTAAATCACTAGAATTAGATTAAAATTTGTTGTCAAAATGAACACTACATTAGCTGAACAGCTGAATGAGATGTACTACTTGCACAGTAAGTGCTTTCAAAAATGAATGTTTGTTGAAAATTTTCTCACCGTCAGGCCATACAAAATGTACAGTCTTAATTTGTGTTCCGAAGATGAACGGAGGTCTTACGGGTTTAGAACGACATGAGGGTGGGTAATTAATGACAGAATTTTCATTTTTGGGTGAACTATCCCTTTAAGTTAGGTTATAATGGACAGGTGAACAAAAACCCAGAGATTCGAAAAGTAGATGAGGGGCATACAGTAAAGTGCAGTGTTGACGTGTCTGGAAATGCACTGAAAGTGAATATCAGTTAAATATGATTTTTTTTAAATTATCGTGTGAATTGTAGTAGATATCTTGAATAGGGTTGCAAAGGGGTGGAACATTTCCGGAAACTTTCCAAAAATCCCAGGAATATTCCCAAAAGTTTCCAAAATTTCTGGAATATTTCCAAAATTTACTAGAAATTTTCCACCTTTTTGCAACCCTAATCTTGAAATAATGATCAGATTCTTACATGTCAAATTATCACATAGAAAAATCCTTACCAGACAGGGTAATAACATGTACCTCTACTGGACCCATAATCATTGTACAAAAAGAGATAGTGTACACTGTAAAAAAAAAATCTGTGACATTTACGGTAAAAAACAGTATTTTACTGTAAAATTACATTAAATGTAATAACATTTATTCACCATATATAGTATGGAAACTTACCGTTAACCAGTTAACAGGTTTTTACTGTAGCATTTTTACAGTCTTTTACTGTTAAAATCACAATAATTTTTTACAGTGTATAGGCTGACATTTTCCACATGTAAGACTAACACAAACACAAACACACGATTTCAGATCAAATAAATCGTCGCCTTGGAACTATACGTTTCTAGCTTATTTACATTATGTTATGTTTGCATTTTTATTTATTTCATGTTTTATTTGTTAGGGACAGATACAATAAACATAGATGAAAATGAGAAAACAATCATCCCATGCATGTGCTTGTAGCCGAAGCTAATTTGCAACGCTTGTCCCTAGGAGGGCTTTTATAAATTACAATTACAATAAACAAGTAGTACACAATTTTATAATAGAAGTACACTAAACATGACTACAGGTTTGTTGGTGTATCAACCAACAGGTTGACACTTTTTAGGTTTTAAGTGTACATTTTGGGACTTTTTATTTAGAAAACAAAAAGTTATCTACAAAGTATAGAATGCAAAAACTTTGAAGCTCAATATTTCAAAACTCATTATGCTTTAACAAATGTAACTCAGTGTTTTGTTGTGTTTGTATGTTTGCACTATTTACATAAATTTGCTTTTTGCACTATTTATTGCTTTGAAATGTACCACTTATCCCTAAACTCTAATATAAGAAGTGCATTAATTACTGCAAAATAAAAATTAAACGTTTTGACATTTACAATGTTAGTACAGAGATAAAGACACCTCATGAGAACAAAATGTCATTCTGGTCTATATATGTGCAAAAATATCAATATCTGGTCAATATTTGTGCAAACTGTTACAATTTGGTCAAATTATTTCAAATAATGACCACAATAAATTGAAAATCCAAAAATTTACCTGATTTGTTACAATTTTGAATTGCGGGTCTGTTGTAACACTCACTTGAATGCTAATTTACATGGTTCAGGGACACATTGTACATTTCTAAAGTACTTCCATGTTTAAAACTCCCAGCTCGCTAACTTGTTAAAACATGATTTTATCAAACTAAGTATCTTAGATTTTTGCTCATGATAAAATTACAAGATTAGATCATTTGCAGCACTGGTAATTATCTCTAAAAACACACAAACCAATAAATAAACATGTTTACCAATACCAGCAAATTCGTTCTGATGAGCAACTGAAATCAATTCTGGAAGTTTCATGTTTAAAGGAATATAGCTGCTGCAGTCTGGAATGTGATCTCAGAGATATTTAAGGAAACTGGCGGAGCTGCAACTGTTATTAGGTCACTCAGGATTATTTAAACTGACTTGAGTTAAACCAGCTTTTATTTAAGAGTTTAAAATACATCCACCGCTGATTACTGCTAATATGCTTTGAGCTATCGATAGATTCAAACACAATCACAAGCGAAGTGACCTGTTGAATGACTGAACAATAACACACTAGCTGTCCAGATTCTTACCGCCGTCGATCCAGAGGAGGATGCCAGGAAGACTTTAATGACCATTTTGTGGAAATGCTAAATAAATGATATGGGGAAAAGTGTTTAAAGACACCGCAATCCACTGGAAAGCACACGGCGCTGTAGCCTCGACTCGAGCCTCTCGGTGTCTATTTCTGTCCCCAGCGCATCATCATGTGGCGGGATTGGTGCGTTTGTCCCACTGCTGTCTGAGTGATTGGCAATTTCAGCTGTCTGTCCACATCAGGAGCTGCTAAAGTTAGTGTAACGACTTGCATATATGGACAGAGATGCTGTTTTTTAAGAAACGTGTAAACAAAAACTTTTTTTAAACGAGTTGGTACTATTTAAAAACCTCTAGTTAATATTGCTAATCATCACTGCTAGTATTGCTTTTATTATTATATTATATGATCCTCATTTTATGATAAAAATGAAACATTCCCACAGATTTAATTTGGAAAGTTCCCACACTCTCAGGGTTGTTGTCAAGGGAAACAGCAGAGAATGTTGTCCTGGGCTCTGTGTTGAGGGGGGAGCCACTGAGGTCTTCTAAAGTAAGTTACTGACTGGGCCTGGGAAGAGATAGCATAGCCTACCCATCAAAATGTGCTCCTGGGCTCTGTAACAGGACATCATAGAGGCTTGGGGGGTGGGTGTTTTTGACTCTGGGCAACAAGAAACCAAATAAATAAATAAATAAAAATAATAATTAAATATAAAAAACAGAGTGTCTATTTACACTAACTCCACCAACATGTGGTTTGGCTCATAGACATAACAAATAGGCTACTTATTATGTTATTTATTATGTTATGTTAGCTAGGCTATTTATTATGTCTATGGTTTGGCTAGTCAACACTAGAAGGCGGATGCAGTAAAGTCGTAAAATGCATTGCACAGACG